CCCCTCCATCCCTAGGCAGCTTCACACTGTAACATCACAACCACACAAGCCCAGACAGCATGACCCCTGCACACCTGGATGCTGGAGCCTATTGCTCCCAGGCTACGAATCAGGAGAGCATGTCAACTTACTGGATACTGAGGGCAATAATGTCTGTGTGAACAAACATCTAAACCTAGAAAGGGTCTAGCAAAAATCCTAGGAGTTAGGAATTTTTCAGCTCCGTTATAAAAGCTTAGGCGACCACCATCATGTATGCTCACGGAAACTGACCAAACACAGCCCGGCGGTCATGACTGTACCAGGAGCCAGCAGTGAGGTGGACCATGTAACTGAGCACTTGGAGCCAGACCAGCAGGCCACCTGGGCTATGTCCTGGCTGCAAGGTCTCATGCAAGCCACTGATCTTTTTTTAAGCCTTGATTTCCCTACCTGTAAATTCCACCAGAATCCTGAAGAGTTACAAGGACTCAAGGTCACATTTGTTTAAAAAAAAAGACCAAGTACTGGGGAACCCATAGCCTTTCCAGCTTATAACTAGGAGGCAGGGGAGTACCATTTGGGGGACTGTGTGAAGTGATTGGAAGGCAGAGAAGATGGGACAGAGAAAAGGTGGGAAAAGGAAATCCTAAGGCCGACGGGCAGGGGGCCTGGCTGACAGAGCAGGGGGACAGAGGAAGAGGCCAAGACAAGAAAGCCCGGGCTGGGCAGGACCTTCCGCCAGAGGAGGTGACCAGGAAAAGCTGTGGCTTGGCAGGCTGCTGCCTGGTGGACAGGAGCTGAGTTGGGAGAGAGTGGACTCCAAGATCACTTCCTCCTTAGCATGAATTAAAGTGACATGGATTCAACAGCCCTTGATGGCCCCTCTCCGTTCACTCCTGCCTCTGGGTCAAGCTACTCTTTCTTTGTGCTGTCAACCTTGGGCCCTGTAACAGCTGTCAGCACAGTCCTTATCCATGACAGGAATGAGGAATGGAGGGGGTGAGTGTGTCGGTCCAAGCACCTTCTTACAAGAGGCTGTGGAGATGGCATGGAGTCTCCTCCATCCCAGTGAGAGAAAGTGCCTCTCATGCTCCAGATGGGAGTGCACCCCCTGCTCCCCACACTCACTGTTCCGCGCTGATCCAGGGCCCTTCCTGGCTTCTGCCCGTCCATCAGGATACCAGGAAACCTGTCGCAAGTCCCAGCTCTGAGTAAAAGGCTCAGCCCTCATGGGCTCCCCACACAAATCTGGGAGTTGTGCTCCCATCTAGGCCATTTCTTCAACTGGGGACACATACACAGCACTGAAATGAGGACCAGTGTTCGAGGAAGGGCCTGAGTGCCAGAGTCAGGTCTGAGAGGTCCCTGAGACTTTAGCCACTTTTCTGCTGATCGTGGAGTGAGTTGTGACCGCCCAGCCGGTTCTACTCACCTTCCGGAGGCGTGGCCATGCCTACCCACATTCTGGGGCTGCAGCTTATGCGTGAACAGATCAGTGGACAAGTTGAGAGTGTCTGGGAAACTGGAAAGCAGGGCTGACATTATTCGAATCTGCGAGCTGCTGCTGGAGCTGCTGAGGGTGGCTTGTGATTAATAATGCCAGCTGTGGCCATATCAACCTGTTACTCTGACTTATGTTGGAACATTTGAAAATACAGGCAGGTGAAAAGGAAATCAAAGCCCCCGTCACCCAGTCATCCAGAGACAACGCACGCTGCCCTGCCTTGTCTGGTCTTTCCTTCCACACACATAGACATGGGCAGCTTTTCTACATGGGATGGCACAGTGCTGTTTGGTATTGGACTATCCACACGTCCAGGACACAGCCCCCTCCACACCATCACTCGGGCTTTCAAGCTTCATTTTTTTTTAAGATTTTTTTAAGAAGATGGACACGTTATCTTTACCATATTTATTTTATTTCTTTTTATGTGGTGCCAAGAATCCAACCCCAGTGGCTCACATGTGCAAGACAAGAGCCCTACCACGGAGCCACAGTCACAGCCCCCTTGAGCTTCATTTGTTTAAATATTTTTTTAGTTGTAAATGAACACAATACCTTCATTTTATTTATTAATTTTTATGTGGTGCCAGGGATGGAACCCAGTGCCTCACGCATGCTCGGCAAGCGCTCTGCCACTGAGCCACAGCCCCGGCCCGCGAGCTTCGTTTTTATTAACTGCCCACAGTGTGCCGACAGAGACGCGCCCTCTGCCAATCTGTGCTGTTGTGTGGCTTCGTACCTGCGATTCTGCAGTGCTAACCACTGCCCACGGTCAGAAAGGCCAAGGTCGAGCTACCTGGAAGCTCCTCATTAAGACAGAAAAGAGCATCTTCCACCCTCTGAAATGCGGGCCAGTGTCCTGGTTCTTCTGACAGGTGTCTGGGCTGCAGACAGCAGCCCGGCCATCCACCAGTTAGGCTGAGGACCTGGAAAAGAGGACTGGCTCTGTTTCCTGGGGGACATCTTTGGAGGCTGAGGTGCTTTAAAAAAATGTAGAAGAAAATGGTTTGTAATTGTTTGCTAGTTTCAGAGGCAAAAAAAAAAAAACCAGAACCCTTGATTTCTAACCTCCTGCGGCATGGTTCAGCATTTCTCCCAGAGTCAAGCAGGAAGACGCTGGAGCGCTCTGATTATAAAATTTGCATGTTCTCCTAGCTGGTTACCGTGCCAAGGGACATTTCACATCACATTGTACTGTTTGTCAAAAATCTTTTGCCCAAACAGACCACTTCTCAAGATACTGCTGATGCTGAGGCTAAACAAACACAAAGGTAGAATTTAAAATACTGAGAGTTCCTAAGAGGAAATATAAAGAGATTGAGAGGCAGCCACTGTCTGCTCTGAACCTTCAACGGGTGATCTGGTTCAGAGCCCAGGTAGATAAATGACAGAAAAACAACAGAAACAAGGCTGCAAAGTGTTGATTCATGAAAAGCGCCTGTTCAACGTGCTTTCAGGGAACACCAGCACTTTTAGGCCAGGTGCCTCAGGAGACACCGAGACAGAGACATCAAAGAGCCCCCATGTCCACATTCGAGGAGCCAACAATCTAAGAGAGGAGACAAAGGTGCCAGCAAATGTTGGAAACATGGTGTGACAAGTCATGCCTGGGCACCTGCAGGCTAGATGCAGGACAACACAGAGCTGCAGCTCTCTGCCTGGTGGCTCTGGGGAGACTTTTGAGAGGAAGGAAGGATAGGAATGTGGGGGCCATTGTAGTGCCAGGGGCTTAGGAGGAAGGGAGAACATGCAAAGGGAGAACGAAATGGCTAGGGGTTCTAGGGACCACCCCTGGTGAGGTAGGACTGAAGTGCAGCTGGGTGGAGCCTCCCAAGGTGAAGCTGGTGAGGTCCACGGGAGCTGGATCCCGGGGCAGCTGGTGTCCTGAGAAAGGAGCCGGGCTTTGCCACCAGTTTTAAGCAGGTGTGGCTCTTCTGATTCACATTGGCAAGCCTCTTTCTGGATGGCACGGAGCTTCCCAGATTGAAGCAAGGGACAAACTAGGAGACCTGTGAACATTCCAGCAAGAAGTGATTTGGCCTCTCAAACGACAGTGACAGTCAATGGAGGGAGGAAGCCATTCAGGTGATTATTAAAGAGATGGCACCAACTGGCTGAGGCACCAATGCAGAGGGGAGTGAGGGAGGGACAGGACAGAAGAAAGAGAGCAAGTAAGCTGCTGAGCAAGACCCTGGGCATGCTGAAGAGGAGCCCAGGGAGGCAGGGCGCAGGAGGCCTCCTCCTCGAACCCGGGAAGACAGCACAGCAGTGGTAGAAACAGCTTACAATACCTGTTGGAACAGACTCCTGTGCAGGAGGCAGGCAGGTGGGGGGTTCCTGGAGTGCACTCTGAACGGAGCAGGTACAGTACTGAAGAGAAGGATGGGGCAGAGTCACAGGGCTCAGCACCCTAGAAAGCTGAGGAACGAGGACTCAGCCTCCAGCACTGAAAAACAGTAAGTAGCCGGAGCCGCGAGGCCGCTGAGACCAAGGCCAGTCCCCTCAGGCAGTGCTTTCCCAGCGGGCTCAGCCGCCAGGAGAGCGAGAGGAATGAACTCCAGGTTAAAGGGGTGGCCATCTGATGCAGGGCATGGAAACCATTGCAATTCAAGGGAACTGAAGATTAAGAAAGGGAAACCGGTGACCCCAGTGCTGCCAGGGGATCAAGGAAAGCCAGGAAGGGCTGAGAGGCAGAGGTCAAGGACTCAAGGCTCATTAGGTGCCCACCCTCAGACGGAGCAGACTGAGTCTTCCACCAGGTACTAGGTCATGAGGTCCAGAATGGGCCTGTCTGGAAACAGCCACCATTGGAATGGCAGTCGAGGTGTCAGGAGTGCTTCTAGGGGCAGCCACTCTTCCCGGAGAGGCCGTGGCAACTCCGCTCAGATACAGTCTAGGAACCAGCAGAAGACACCCACCTCTGGGGGAGACAGCAGCCTCACATGGGGACCTGGAGACCTCAGAAGACTGTTGGGGTTACTGGGCTACAGCCCAAATTCACAGTCCCATCCAAGAGAGTCTGTTTGGGATAAAGGTCGCCCCACAGCTGGACATGGTTCTGTTTCCACCTGACCTTCCAGCGCTGGGTTGAGGACATGGCCGTGTTGCACTGAGTCGGTGCTGTTGAGGGATAGATAAATTATCCATGGGAACAAGGAGGGCTCTCGTGGGTTTCACTCTCCAGGTGTAACAAGGAACGCAGGTGACCAGTGCATGGAGAACTGTCATTTGTCCACATTACTTTCCCAAAGTAGCACCAAGTTTTAACTCTGACTTTTTACGAAAGGTCCCAGGCTATTCCCGTTTTGTTTTTTGTTGTTGTTTTGTTTTGTTTCCAGATAGTTTGAATTCCTGTACCCTTTGCCCTGGAGACCCAAATTCATGGTTTTTCTCAGGCTCACTCTTGGTATTTAAGTGGGCTAAACCGCGGCGTAAACTCCAGCCTACAGGCAGTAGATTGGGGGCTGCGGGGGTGTGTGTCTTTCCCCTGGTGACAGCCTTGGCCTCCCCGCAGGTGCGCGCAGGCGCTGCTGGAGCATGGTGCCTCGGTGCAGCTCCCAGGCGGCGCGGGCCGGGACACGCCGCTGCACGTGGCAGCGCAGCACGGCCTGGACGAGCACGCACACCTCTACCTAGGCCACGGGGCGTGCGTGGACGCGAGGAACCGCCGCGGCGAGACGGCCCTGAGCTTGGCCTGCGGGGCGGCGCGGAAGCCTGACGAGCACGCGCGCTGCCTGCGCCTGTGCGCGCTGCTACTGCAGCGCGGCGCGGCGGCGGACGCGCGCGACGAGGACGAGCGCAGCCCGCTGCACAAGGCCTGCGGCCACGCGCGCCACAGCCTGGCGCGCCTCCTGCTGCGGTACGGCGCGGACGCGGGCGCGCTGGACTACGGCGGAGCCTCGCCGCTGGCCCGCGTGCTGCAGACGGCCGCCTGCGCGCCCCAGGCCGCGCCGCAGCTCACGGTGCAGACGCTGCTCAACCACGGCTCCCCCACTGTGTGGCCCGACGCCTTTCCCAAGGTAAGGCGAGCCCCAGCTGGGCTGGCATGCGCCACGGATGGCCATCCGTGGCCGATGGCGGAAGAGCATCCCCAGGGAGCTTTGCCACGCAGAGGCTGGACTTGGGAGCTGGCTTTGCATGCAGCGCTTTCAAACTTTGACGGGCCCAGGCCCCCCGGGGCGATTCTGGGATGGAGGCTCTGCGTTTCTAACAAGCTCCCAAGTGAGGCCGAGGCTGCTGATCTTAGAACCCCACTTTTTGAGAATCAAAGGCCTAGAAACTTCCTAGGGGTCAGAGTCACAAGGAAATTAAGAGGTTGGGCTGTAAGTAGCATATCAGAACATACCCTTTCAAAGGAGTAACGTGGGGACCTCTGGCGTTTATTTCAATGACGTTATCACGACTCAAAACACGTTGGCGGTTCGTCTTCTGGTGTTATTTTCAGAAAGATGAAAAAATAGTCTCTGTTTGCATCTGGTGTTTGATCTAAAACGAAATTACCCAGCCTCGTCCTCTGCCTTGTTAATGATAGCACTTAACACCCTCGCAGATTCCTCTCCTTTAGTCTCGTAGCACTGATGTGAAATTCTCCGTAGGGACGATGTTGTCCAAACATCCGTCTACCTGAGTTTCCATACGTGAAGTGCCTCCTTCTGGGTCACAGCTGTGTTGAGACCTCAACTCCATTTCCCAGGTTCTTACCTTTGTAAACCTGACATCCGATCCACCTGTCAGATCTGCCCTGAAATAATAATGATGAAGAATAAAGATTTCTCATCAGAGAAAATACCCAAAAGGCAGGGAGTGTTTCCAAAAGAAGTTTCCAAAATGTTGTTTGGAGTAGGAAATTGCCCTTCCCAAAGACTTCATTGAAGGAAATCACTTCATTGGATGTAAAATTTTTGTGTATTTGACATAAAATTGATCTCATTACCCAAGACGCAAAGTCAGGCAAATGACATTTTTTGGTCTGGCATGTTTTTAATAGATATCAGGAAGGTTGTTACCCAAAAGAACAGTATCTGAAACTGTGCAGTTCACATATTTCTGCCAATGCTAACTCTGCATTACAGATGCATTCAGGGTAGAGAGTATGTCTACAAAAGGAAAGGTAAAAAGTGGGAAATCCACTGAGACCAACATGATGTCCCTTTATGTGACCAATATGATGGCCCTTTTCTGTCACTATCTCCCTAAGGTGCTCCTCCAAAGCATTTCAACATGGTAGACTCTTAAAGGGAGGAAATGCCAGCATGCCCTTTGTGTTCATAATCTTTGTGTTCATAATTTAGCCCTTAACCTTTCCCATTACTAGCAGGCTTAGTTCATCAATCTGTGTTATAGAAGCAAAACTCACCGCTGCCCTGCCAATCACATTGCATCTGCATTAAACCATGACGTGCACTTCAACACTCCTTGTATGACACTGCATACAGAATGAAAGGAGAAACCTTACAGGATGAGCCTCAAGTGGAAAATACATGCAGCCATTTTTAAAGAAAAAATTAGGAGTCAATATGTGCCAGTAGCAACCAGGAATAATCCTTCATTAGCCTTGATGTCATTTTAGTGCACATGATCTTTGCCCAGGTTTTCAAGTTTTGAGGGCAGACTCACAGCCATCCCCTCTGGAGACCTCTAGTGCCTGAACTCTGTCTCCAAGCTACAGGAAATACCCTGCCTTGACCTAGAGATGAAGGACAAAGCCTCTGGCCCATCTTCAAGAATCTGTTCTGGATCCCCAAAACTATGTCAGCCACACATGACTGGTATATAGTCAGTGGTCCAGCTACCTCTGCCCAGGCAGGCTGGGATGAGTCCAGGTTTACTAGGCAGTGAGAGGTGCTTGGCCCCTGGTCTAACAATATCTATCCAGTCAATTCCACCCCAAAGTGGGAAGATTTGGATTTTTATTTTGAGAAATCTTCAATATCTTGAAGTTTCACCCAAGCGTTGCCCACTACTGCCTACCCTGTGCTCAGGTGGTGCAGACAATGCAGCCCTTTGATCAGTGATGTTGAATGAATGCAAAAGGTTCCAGCAACTATAGGGTATGCAGCCGCCTTTAATCTCTGGACAATCCTCACACTTCCAGGGGGTGCCCCCACACCTGGCCAGGAGCAGCTGGTGGATGGGGACACATGTACCACACTGAGAATCCTCCAAGCAAAGGTAGAAGTGCCTGTGACATTCTAACCTTGCCCCAGGACAACCAGACAATATGCTGTGATCTGGAGGCGGCATCTTCCTCCCCCAGGCTCCCCAAGAGTGTCCCACTGGGGAAGGGGTCTAATCACGCACAACATCAAAGGGACAGGCCCAAGAGGGCTCAGCAGCCTTGGCTAGTGCCCACAAACACTCACACAGGCCACAAAGACGCTCATCAGAGAAGACTCAGGCGCCACAGCGAGGCAAGCACAGGGCCACTGGGAATGTCACAGAGCATGCAGCCAGTGGGCAGCAGCCGTACTTTAAATAGATGTAAAGAGACACCCATGGAGCTCAGAATGACTGAGGCACAAAGCTTCACAGCGAGCTTGGGACATAAATCACCATTCCCCCACACCAAGACAAGGACCCACCTCCTCGGCAGCAGGCGGACACAAGGATCTACCGGAGCCTGGCTCAGTGCTCCGTGGAGAATCAAAGGGTATCCAGGCTTCCAGGCCTCTCTTCCCCTCTGAGCTGCAGTTCACACCAGAAGCAGGCGCAGGTGGCCAGCTGCAGCGCCATGTGGGCTCTGCAAGGTGTCACACCAGGTTAGGGTCAGGCCTGGCAAATGCCGGCAGGAGGCAGAGATGGGCCTGAAAGTGTTGGCACCTGCCATAGGCCCACCGTGTGGACTGGATGCTTGATCTGGATAAAGGAAAAGGCTCGAGTTTCTCTTCTGCTCCTTCCTACCTGGAAGGCGCGTTCAGAAGCCAGTAATGAAGCCCAGCTTCCCCTTCTCCCTGGCACCTCCCACCTCTTTGAAGAGCACATTTTTGGTTCAATCTCAGAACACGATTTTGGAGCCACAAAGGGAGGGGTGCCCTTAAGTCCAGCCCCCTCCAAAACTGACATGGTAGACCCATAGTCGCGGAGCTGTGGGGTGGAACACCAGAACCCTACCAAGTCCCTTCACCTAGAATCACTGCCCTCCCCTGCCTCCTCCCCCTCCCTGGTTCTCATTGGCAGCCACCTGGAATCAGTGCTTGGATTAAGTGGCCAGTCTCATTTGTTCCCCAGTATCACCCAACCACCTCCACAGAACTTGTCATTTGCGTTCACCATGTGTGTGACCAAGCATTCTAGCCCCTCCAGCCCTGACCCCTATGTTGTACTGCTTCCCAAAGCCACTTCTGTGACCCGTGGAGCAGAGGTCACCCTGAGCAGCAGAAATGCACCTGAAGAGGGTCGTAAACAGTTCCTCCTGGGACATGACCAGGAGTCAGGGAAGTGCAGGACAATGCCACGGTGAAGGTTCCCCAGGCCGCAAAGTACCCACTTCGCCTCCCGAGGGCATCCTTTGCACACTGAGTTATACATTCAGTAGGCATGTCTTGAGAACTTCTGGGCTGGAATTAGAGAGACCACATGTGTTCCCGGCCCTCATGGAGTTGCCTGTCTTGTGAGCTGAACAACCACACGTGCCAATGTGAAATCGCTGTGGTGACAGTTGCCACAAAGCCAAGAGCAGATGGGGGCTGGTCTGGTGGGGGATCAGAGGCTACACCGAGCACATGATGAGTACTCCCAGAGGAGCCTGGAGACCCAGCTATGTGAGGCCTCCGGAAGGGACTTGTTCCAGACGGAAGGAACAGCAGGGACCGAGAACTGAGTCTGGACAGCCAGGCGGAGGCCTTGCCGTACAGTGTGGGATTCTGCAGTAGTGCACACCTGTGAGCCCAGCCCCAAGAGAGGCTGGGGATTGCAAGTTTGACGCCAGCCTCAACAATTCAGCAGGACCCTGCCCCAAAATAAAAACAAAAAGGGCGGATGATGTAGCCCAGTGGTAGAGCATCGCTGGGTTCAATCCAAGTACCAAAAGCAAAAGTCAAAAACTGTGGGAATCTACTCCATCGTTTTTAAGCGGAGGAAGTGCCATAATCCAACTCATGTTTTAAAATGATTTCTCTGCAGTCCTGTAGAGAACATGCTGGAGTAGAAGGCAGAGGGAAACCACTGGCCATTGTGGAAATCCAGTTGAGGGGTGCACTTGGCTTGAACAACACGGGGTGGAGGTTGGTGCGGGTAATGACAGATTCTAGAAATATCTGGAAAGCCCTGGTCTTGCCTCACCTGGATGTTGACAATGCCAAAATAGGGGCCTTAAATGTTGACGTTTTCTTCTTGACCTAGTTACAGAATCAGATAAAGTGACTTCACCTATTTACCCCAGTTTCACAGGATTTTAGGGGAGAACCTGGGATAGCAGTAGTCAAAACCCAGGGCCCCGTTTCCTGTCTTCACAGCCGCGTGCTCGGGCTCCCGGGGAGGGACGAGCCATCATAGGAGCGCTTCTGTTTTCTTGCCCTTGTTTTATTTCTCCATCTACATATAAAGCAACGTGCCTCTGTGATTTCTCCCCTTAATTTTCTCTCTGCCGCCTCATTAGCTGGAGAGGGTCTGCGTGGACACTAATGACATCAGCATGTCAGAGTAATGTGGCAGCCGCCTCTCCACAGACAGCAAGGAGGCAGCGGAGATTTTTAAACTGTGTTGGCGTAAAAATAATGAAGGCAGCCAGCTGCCTGGCAAACAGAGGGGCACAGCGCTGAGGGGCCGGGAGGGGCGGGGAGCCCCAGAGAGGTGGAACAGCGGAGAGACAGAAAATGAATTCCCAGAGACAGGCAATAAGACTTTGTCACAGTCTGTGACCCGGGGTGGGGGAGGGGTGGTGCTCTGCCTCTGAGGGCAGGCAGCTCTTCCCAGGCGGGGGACATTCGTGTTCCATGCCGTCCCTGGGAGCCATTTAACACTGCAGAGTAGTGACAGGGCCAATTGGGGGGTCGCTGGGAGAGCGAAGTTAGCAAGGGCT